TGAATAGTTGTGCCCTGTTTTACAAACATATTGATGATAGTGCAGACGCTTATATGCACAATTTAATATCATCTTTTTTAACTGTTAATATTATATCTTTCATGCCTATTAATGCTGTGCTTGCTTGATTATGACAAGCCGATAAATGTGCCTTTACCAAATGCTTCAATGGGGGAACCTGTGTCGCGTCGACTGAAAGTGACATGGATCTGTGTAGATGCCCAAATGGTCTCACTGGCTACGATTGTCAGATATGTAAGCCTCTCTCTTTATTATGCTTATGCTTTATCAGTTACATGTATTTTACATGCATAAGGCGATTGGTCTTGTGGTGCCCCATGCTCTGGACAAACACGATTGTAGATAGATTAGCCGGTCTTATAGTTTCGCCACTTGTGGTATACTTGCCAAAAATGGTAATTTAAGAGGCCATTGAAGCAAACAGGCCAAATGATACGCCGACTATAGGAAGTAGAGATGGGAATAGAAGTGTGAGAGGACTGACACTTAAGTGAAACTGTTTACAGTATTCAAGTCCAAATCACACTATTTGCAATGTCCATATTTTCGCAAACGCATAATGATTAACTGAAGAAGATTAAATTTAGTGTAAAGGTTTTATATTTGAATGATAATCGTGCACTTTTGTTACTTGTACACCAGCTAACGCTAGCATAAGTGATTCCAGCCCTAAGGGAAACATTTTGCCTCCTTGAACTTGAACTTTATAAGAAATAAAAAATGATCACTTAAGCTGTATGATGTCTCTAGCAATGAAGCTACTTGAAATATAGTTACATCGTCTAGCTTAAAAAATATTCTCACCACATAAATGTGAACTATTTACTCTATAATTATAGGCCCTCCAGTCATTTTGGATGTCACCTTATAAGAAATAAACACATTAGGATAAAACATTTTAATAAAGCAAGAAAACAACCTTCTTTGCGGAAATATCTCCACAGAAAACGTCAATAAAGAGTTGCGGGATTCGATAATTATATTGAACTCAAGATCGTTGGGCCAAGAGCAAGGGATTCATGGAGATTGATTGATGTTTCCTTTAATTATCCTGGATTGGTTGAGACTTTTCAATAGAGCGCCAATCTGTGCCTTGTTCTTCACGAGTGCGGGCCGATCTCTTATATGAAATAACTCAGTGGAAAGGGTGTGGTGACCTGTTCTGTGAAACTAGAACAAATAAATATCAAAATAAATTTAAGAACTTACCCGAAATCACTCATATGTTATATAAAGCCTTATCAAATTATTCGGTGAAATTAAATTAAATGCAATGATTATTGCAACGATCAATCTTCAACTCCACATCGTTATAATCTGGAATTGATTCCAAACGTATTTCAATATATAAATTATTTACTCCTTGGTTTGTAATCTTAGACCTATGCGGCATGAATGCTTCTGTGTCTATTTGAGAGTATGAAAGTGTGAAACTCCAGGTTTGTTAAATGGGAAATGACAATATTTAACGAAGTCTCAATTTCTTAACAATTAAACTCAGTGAAAATTATATTTGTTTTCATTTTAGTTGGTCGTTATGCCATCTTATTGCGTCAGCCGTTAGCAAGTGAGTTTCTTCATTACTAATATTCTTCGTTTATAAGCAAAATTTCGAGACTACCAGTAAATCAGTTATATGAGAAGCATTCATTCTATTTTTTTTACGGTGATGAAGTACTGGCAATTTAATTTTCCCACAATGATACGTTTCCATTGCTTTACCCGAAGTTGTTCTCATCCAGAGTGGACTCCCACTGGGGATATTGATAAGACCTAGGCGAGGTCGAAACTGCAGTCAATTATGGGAAAACGAAACTTCCAGTTCGTCATCATCGTAAACGATATAGGGTGAATACATCTTATATAACTAAAAGTGTCAGAGTGATTTGTACTTTAAAAGTAGCACCCATCTCTT